TGGCTGTGTATTAACTTCAGTTGCTTGAGAACACCAGTAGGGAAAGTGCAGTTGCATTCATATATTGCTTGTGGGCTTCCCATAGGATCTGGTTGGCCCCTGGGAGAACAGGATGCTGGATTTTATAAGCCTTTTACTTGGCTCCAGCAGGGCTCTTCTTGTGTTAATAATATTTATTTATTTATTCATTCATTCATACATACATACATACATACATACCCCATCCATCTGGTTGGGTTTCCCCAGCCACCCTGGGCGGCTTCCAACAAAATATTCAAAGCACAATAAAACATCAAACATTTAAAACTTTCCTAAACAGATGTCTTCTAAAAGTCAGATACAGTAGCACCTCGGGTTACGCCAACATCAGGTTGCGAAAGTGGCAAACTCGGAAATATTTGACCAGGTTTCGCCCCCGTGCATGCGCAGAAGTGGTCTACCACCACGTGCATATAACAGTGATCCTCGGGTTGCAAAAACCTCGGGATCTGGCCGGACCTCCAGAACGGATCCCGTTCGCAACCAGAGGTACCACTGTAGTTGTTTATTTCCTTGACATCTGGTGGGAGGACATTCCACAGGGCAGGTGCCACTACCGAGAAGGCCCTCTGCCTGGTTCCCTGTAACCTCACTTCTCGCAGTGAGGGAACCCCCAGAACGCCCTCGGTGCTAGATCTCAGTGTCCGGGCTGAACGATGGAGGTGGAGACGCTCCTTCAGGTATACAGGACTGAGGCCATTTAGGGCTTTAAAGGTCAGCACCAACACTTTGAATTGTGCTTGGAAATCACATGGAATATCAACAACATTCTTATCATCATGTTTGGGGCCAGATTTCTGGCTGCGTGGAGTTCTTAAAAATAAGCCACATGTCTGGTTTGCACATCACATAGCACCATAGCTACGGTTACACATGAACAAGCAGTTTGCTGGTGCAAGTGGCTCGCAAGTACAGTGGTACCTCGGGTTACATACGCTTCAGGTTACAGACTCCACTAACCCAGAAATAGTACCTTAGGTTAAGAACTTTGCTTCAGGATGAGAACAGAAATCGTGCTCCAGCGGCGCAGCGGCAGCAGGAGGCCCCATTAGCTAAAGTGGTGCTTCAGGTTAAGAACAGTTTCAGGTTAAGTACGGACCTCTGGAATGAATTAAGTACTTAACCCGAGGTACCACTGTACCCACTTTGTTTCTCATCTCTTCCTGCCTGCAACAAACTATGGAACTTCATCTGAACCTTGTTTGTGGTTTATCATTACAGACCAACCAAAAACAGGAGTAAAGGTTAGTTTTTGGCTTGTGGTTTCTTTGGGGGAAACAAACCATGAGCCTTGGTCTGGATAACAAGGCTTGTGGTTTGTTGCTCTCAGGGTGGCGTCACCAGGAGCAGGGGAGGGGAAAACCAGAGACTTTTGAGCAGCGTGTGCTCATTTGCATTCAGCCATAGTTAAACACTAAACTATGGTTTAACGTGACATGCAAACTCAGGCACTGACTTACATATGAGATGCCTCAGCTAGAAGGAAAGACACTATCCATTATTCAAAGGGTGTGAATGACTGATTGCAACCCACACATTTCTTAAACTGGAGTACTACTCTTTGATTTTGCTGCTCTAAAGTGTAGGCGAGTTGTGATTGATAGGCCTCTTAGTCTTCTGCTGGGAGTGTGTGCATGTGAATTTCAGGTAAAATAAGGTCACCAAGAGAGTAAGCACAAATTCATTTAGGCACCGTTCCCAAAGCAAATGACTGACATCTCCGGTGTCAAAAAACATGTATTTTCAAACCAGGGAAGGGGGAAAGCAGCAATTAAAAATCTTAACTGGGCTATTGTCTTGGAAATCTCAGCTTTCATTTGAATTCATCAACATACCGCTGGTTACCAGGAGCCTACACAAATATCTACCCCATAAGTCCCATGTTTCAGATAACTGAAATGTGCAACATTAATTGCACTGGTTTGGGGAAAAGAATTCTATCGGTTTTGCAGCAGCCAGGTTACAAGGATGTTGTGTGTGTGTGTGTGTGTTTTTAACTGAAATATTGGAGAAACAGCTAGATCTGAGAGACATTATAACCACAACAAAGACAAGCTAGTGACCAGCGCAGCTACATTGTCTTTTGAACAACAAGTCAATGCAGACAGAAGTAAATGACAGTTAATTACAAATTACATTCTGGTTGGGGCTGTGAAGGCCTCGTGGCTTGAATATTAAGCAGGCCCTCGGGCGCTCACCTGCCTGCAAAGGAGCATACGGAGGCACAGGCCGGGGTGCTATACAAGTTTCAAACAAGCTGCTAAACACAAAAGCTTATTGGATTACAGAGCTTTAGGAGAATGCATTCAGATCTCTGGCAGCCACTGGGTTGAAGGGATTTCTAAAGGATGAATTGCTATTCACTGTAATTTTTTGAATGCTGTTCTTTGGGTGCAGGGAAGGAAATAAATTCACTTCTTTTTCTAATATTTGAAGGGGGGGGTTAGGGAACCCTATTCTGTTACAAATGCCCTTTAGGATACATGCCTGGAGAAAGGGGAATCTGTTATGAATTGGAAATCTAATCTCTTTGCAAATTAGAGAGATTATGGATAGTGTTCATAATGACGGTGGTGATCTTTCCTATCGTCAAATCGGTATTTTGTTCCTCTTGTATCATTGAGAGCAAACAAATATGAAAAGAAAACATCTTCTTCCCCCGTCCCCCGACTGGAAATGCAGAAGTTTGGTCTTAAAAGGAAAATAAAATCCAGCTTCTTTGATCACTGGAATATTTGCTTACAAATATTATATCCTGGGTTTTCAAAGTTTAATTCTTAACTTGTTATAATGGTGGGGGAAAAATAATAGACAGCGTCTAAAATAATTAACGTCAGAATTAGAGCATTGAAAAGACCTTGGCTTTTCTAATTCACTAAAGCAATTTCTATTCATTTAGTTGAGCTAAGTGCTTATTGTTAAAGACAAAAAGCCCAACAGTTTGACATTGAGCTCATTATGTATGTTTCAAACATTCTGCAATTCAAGGCCACACCACATGCTATAAAGCAGAGGCTGGTGGATTAAAATTCAGACCACACAATTTCCCTGAATAGCTTCCCTTTTAAACCTGATTAAAACTTCAAAACAAAAGCGCATCAGTAGGGTCTGTGTGTGTCTGTGTTATGCACACACATCATTTGAGAATATTTTCTTGAGCTCATTATGGGAGAAATAATTCTGATATTCTTAGACCCTCGGCCTGAACTCATTGCGACGGAGGTAAGCTCTATTGATTTCCGTGGGAGTTGCTTCCATGAAAGGCATTTGAGGACTGGAGTGTTTTCACTAAGCAATCCAACATCCAGCGACATGCACTTAAATGCCTTTGATTTAAGTAGGATTTTGAGCGCATGCAGATGCACATAGGATTGTGGCCATTATGATTAATAAATAGGACTCCGAGCTTTAGTCTGTGTACATAAAGCAACTAGAGCCTAAGACCAGGTCTGCAAAATGGCAGATCACACAGTGGACTGTTCCACTTCGGGCAGCAGGTGGAACATGGATTGAAAACAGCCCCCACTCGCCAGAAAAATTCCTACACAGAAAACAAGCATGAAAAGGAAAAGGCTAGGCTGGAATCTTTCTCCCTGCATCTAGTACGCAGGAAGTTTTGTAATGTGGGATTCTGCAACCTGCAGTATGAGGTTTTACAGCCCAGGCAATTTTACTGTTTGACCTGCTGTTCAGCTAGGTCTTTGTGGATTTTAATCTGTGAAAGTGAAAATCATACTTACCTCCTTTTGGGAAGTTGGGCAGGGGCTGTTTTGGTTCTTCTGTGATGCTGAAATAGGAGTTCAAAATATGAAAGATGGTCTTTTCTTCTAACAGTAGGAAGTGCTTGTAAAAGAAATGTAAGTTATTTCATAATAAATATCTTTAAAGGGCAATGATGTAAGGGTTTATTTAATTCATTTATTCCAAATTATTGTGTTACTGAGATCTTTTTTGAGATCTTTATAATGGTTTAATGAGGGATATGAGATAACTGTCACTTCTTTTTTCTGGCTCATCAAATAAAAACAAAAAAAGGTTAACAGTGCATTCCTGTCCAGATTTACTCAAAGGTAAGTGCCAATGATTTCAATGGTGGTTGCTGCCAGGTAACTGAGTTATATAGGACTGCAACCTAACTGGACTCAAAGGCAAATTTTATTTTTTTTCATTTCATCTCAAGTGTTTATAGAGGGTTTTATTTTTTTAAAGGATAAAATGCCATTTAAAAAAATACAACACCCAAATTTGATATTTTATTATAAGAGTCCCATTTAGCATAGAGCATCAGTTTTAAAAAATAGTCTGTGCCACATTTGCATAGCCCCGGTATCAAGAAGAGTAAAGTAGCTGTGATAATTGTTGATGATAGATTAGATTTCAGGATGAAGATGATAGATGCAATAAAGGGCACAGTCTTTTCCCCCTGAATGGTCACTGTAGGAATCTGTGTTACACAACAAGTCAAAAAGTGCTGTGCTTTGTACTATTTTTTCCAATGTGTGATATAGACATTCAATATCAACAGAGAATTCAGACACATCAAACTAGATAAAAAATATGTAGAAATGTTTGTATGCATATATTATACTTCAGGGAGTAATAGCAGTACATAATACAATATATGCATTTATTTACTTCTGTATTTAGCTATCTAAGCCCATGAACTCACAACAAGGTGTATATTTTAAAAAATGGGCCCTTGATGATTCTTCACCTGTGTGCCGTGGTATGAGCCCAATAGTATGGGCTCTTACTTTGCATTGCACAAGATCATCTGAAGATTTCTGTTTCCATGGTAGGTATATCTCATTCATCCACAATTCAATTTTCCAAACGTTCAGCTTAGCCCTGTTGCACATACTTCAAAAGGTCAGGTGTCAGACAGTAGAAGAAAGAAGCACTATTTTTTCTGTGACCAAAACACAAGTAATCCTTATATTCATAATAGGTAAAGGTAAAGAGACCCCTGACCATTAGGTCCAGTTGTGGCCGACTCTGGGGTTGTGGCGCTCATCTCGCTTTATTGGCCGAGGGAGCCGGCATACAGCTTCCAGGTCATGTGGCCAGCATGACAAAGCCACTTCTGGCGAACCAGAGCAGCGCACGGAAACGCCGTTTACCTTCCCGCCGGAGTGGTACCTATTTATCTACTTGCACTTTGAGGTGCTTTTGAACTGCTAGGTTGGCAGGAGCAGGGACCGAGCAATGGGAGCTCACCCCGTCATGGGGATTCGAACTGCCAACCTTCTGATCAGCAAGCCCTAGGCTCTGTGCCACCCACGTCCCTTATATTCATAATAAGCAGGTATAATTACACCTTCTCATGCTTCAATCTTACTCTGTGTCTTTTGGAAGCCCTGTTGCATTCCTACCAGCATCAAAATAGCCTTAAAAATAAAATGATATCTAAATTTCCATTTCAATTTTAGGCTCAGTGCCTGATCTACCCCAGTGATTGATTCATCTGCTGATTAAAGTTTACTGCCTTATCAGTTGCACTAACACCAAAGCCCTGTCTCTTTTCTCGAAATCAACCCCAATGGCAATGCGATCTTTCTGCCAGGTAAATGTGGTGAAGAGCGTAACCTAAACTTATTTGCAGTACCATCCTAGACATGTCTACTCAGAAGTAAGACCCTTTGAATTGAGTGGGGCTTTCTCCTTAATAAACAGATAAACCTTAAATTATTAACATATGTATCAAGATCACATTTGCATCCTGGTTGACATGTCAATGATGTCTAAAGAAGATCATCATAAATATATGGATCAATCACACCTTCGTTTTTTGAATTTATTGCTTTTGCATCCATTTCAGTTGCCCAATGTGACTAAATTTGTTCATTAATTGAGTTACTAATTAATTTTGTAAAACCCTGGAAAACTATTGTAGCGGAGAACCTGATCATTGACAGGGAACTATATGGCAGAGTAGGGAGTTGTCTGGCTGTTAGTCATAAAGTTGGTTGTTCGAGTCCACCCAGGGACGGCTGTGGACAGGATTCTTGCATTGCACAGGGTTGGTCTACATGTTGGCCCTTGGGGTACCTTACAACCCTTTGCTTCTATGACTCCTTGGTTCAAGTCGAATGCTGAATCCATAACACACAAACACCCGGATCTTGTTAACTCTATCAAACTGAATCCCTACAGGTTATGGGGTCAACGCTGCTCATAATACACGCAAAAAGAGCAGACAAAAGCTTTAGCATGTATAGCTGGTGTATTAGTGCTTTGTGTAATTGGGAATGCCACACTGTTAGGGCTCCTGGGTACATATAACTGGTTGTGTGTACGTGACCCTCTTTGTCCCTATGAATAATAATAATTTATTTATATCCCGCCCACGTGGCTAGGTTTCACCAGCCACTCTGGGCAGCTTCCTACAAAATATTAAAAATACAATTAAAAAAAAATCAAACATTAAAAACTTCCCAAAATAGGGCTGCCTTCAGATGTCTTCTAACAATTGTTTATTTCCTTGACATCTGATGGGAGGGCGTTCCACAGGAATAATAATAATAGGCATGAGGGCTGGGGTGGGGCCAAGAGACACGGAGAAGGTCTGAAGGGAGCAAATATATTGATGATTCATGTCCACTAAGGATATAAACAGTCTGCAAAAGGGGGGCAAAGAGTGCGCAGAAGACTTGATTATTAATGCAATATTGAGGATCACCTCTTTTTAAATCTGAATCGCACCCATTTTTGGAAAGGCATGAAATCTGAGTGCAAAATTCACTCTCGGTGACTGATAAGATGATTTCAGCATCTTAGAAATAATACCAGATTGGAATCCTAGGAGGAAGGAACTGAGGACTCTCCCACCCAGCCAGCCACCGTTCTGGTTTCGGGAAATTTGTAAGAGCAACAAGATTGGCTGTGGGGGTGGGGGAAAATAGCTTCTCTTTACCAAGAGAGAAGAAAGGGACCATCTTATCAGCAGCAGAGTAATTCTGAACGTACTGACAATGACATGGGTAATCCATCATGTCATCAGTCCTGTGACAGATGTACCCTGCACCTCGTCTCTGTATGTGTGCAGAGAGGACTATGTCGGAAGCCAGGAGGCAAAGAACACTTAACCCCTGCGAGCTGCATGTTCCTGCTGTGCTTCAGACAACCTCTGTCATGTATGAAAAGCCTAAAGAATGACAGTAAATCTATACAGACCTGTGCAATCTACCATCATGACAACCACACACTATGTAGCCTTATAACACTATTAAACTGTATCATGACAGCCATGTAAGACAAGACCTTTATTATGTGCCTTGTTGAGCTACTTAAAGCAAGAGTTGTAGCTTTTAAAAGTCAAGGAAATTAACAGGAGGATGCAGCTTGGAATCTCTGGAGCTGGTTGTTTTGCTCCTTTGCTGATTATCCCACTGAGCTGCAGTTCAGTGACCAAATAATTTTGGAGATACTGGCCGGTCAGACCTGCACAATTTGTGATGCACCAGACTTAACCCAGCCAAGAGGCTGACAGAGGTCTTTCTGGGCCTCTTTATGGAGTGACTGGGCTGCATTCAACTTACATAGGCTGCACAATGAAGAGAGTCAAGCCAGGCTTTGGGGGGAGAGAGGGAGGACACTATCTTGCTGCCCCACTCAGTGAGCCTAACATGTGAGTATGGCCTCTGGTTCTCATGCAGCTGTTTCCAGTACAGTGTTACCTTGGTTCTCAAACTTAATCTGTTCCGGAAGTCTGTTCCAAAAGCAAGGCACACTTTCCCATAGAAAGTAATGAAAAACAGATTAATCCGTTCCAGACTTTTAAAAACAACCCTTAAAACAGCAATTTAACATGAATTTTACTATCTAACGAGACCATTGATCCATAAAATAAAAGCAATAATCAATGTACTGTACCATAAAATAAATAAGACAGTGTTGTAGATGATAAATATAATAATAATAAAAATTTCTTACCTTCACTGATGATACTCATTGTTTGAATGCTTTTATCCATTTCCACAGTCACACAATCAATCAGTCAGTAGCTGAACTGGGTTCCACACAGTCACAAAAACAAATTAACCACAAAAGCCTCAAAAACAAAAATGCAAAATAAATAGCAAAAACAAAAGCACCAAACTTAATCCATTCTGGAAGTCTGTTTGACTTCCAAAATGTTCGAAAACCGAGGCGCAGCTTCTGATTGGTGCAGGTGCCCCGGAAACAATAGCCGACAGCTTCCAAAAAATGTTCAAAGACACTTACTTCTGGGTTTGGGGCATTTGGGAACCAAGGCGTTTGAGAACCAAGGTACCACTGTACACACACACACACACACACACCATATATGTTTAATTGTATGGTAGGTATATAAAAGAAAAATATCATCCTGCACACTTTTCAGATGTGCTTTCTTTGATAGGAGAGGCGTTGAGCCAAAACTGCTGGCTTTTTTCTGCTTTCATTTTTAAGAGTAGCAAATGGCGACTCTTGTTTTCAGCCATTTTTGATGTCCATTGCCAATGTTATTGCCATTGTTCTGAATCACTTTCCTCTGCCTCCTCCTCTGCTCTCAATGACCTCAATCTCATTTGCCTTCACTAGTATTTAATTGCCTTGGCTCTGTCATCCATGTAAGTACAAGGCTTTTGATGCAGCGATGATGATGTCCGCATCACAGACATCTATAAACAAAATCACACAGGTGGCCACAGCCAATCAGATGAAATGACACTGCGGTGTGGGCAAATGAGGCCTAGGACCAGTGAGAGCAAAGGCCTAGAATGGCACTCAAAAGAAGTAGCAGTCAAGCAAACCAGGATCAAAATATTGTGAATGTTCAGTGAGGTGAGTACTTGCTGAGCTGCATTAAAATGCACTAATTCTGAGGTGGATACACACACATACACACACATTTCCCATATGTTGCACAAAACTGACCCTTTCAGTATGCATTGAGTGTGACAGTACCAGTTACAAGACAAGGAATTATCGCTTGAGAAAAATGAGGATGGATATGACCCTTAAAATGGAGGCTTTGCGATAATAGCTCGCTTTTACTTTTGCTAACACACGCAAAGCCTCTCTTGGGTAAAGAAAGACAAAATAGCTAGTTGAATAGTAATACAGTTAGTTCATGTATATGCAAGAAAAAGATCTTTCTGCACCTTGATGAAATTAACATACATTTAAATAGTAATGAAACGATGGAGAGCAGAGAAGAATATCAAGGACCGCATTCAAACTCCGCTCCATCCCTCTGAAAGAGATTTCATTTCCAGGGGCACATGACATAATTATGATACACCTTTCGTTCACAAGACACAACTCAAAACTTAGTAAAAATATGAAACCTTTATCAGTGTAATGATACATTTTGTAAAGGATACGTTCCCTTTGGGGCTAAAACCATTTCATTCAATAAAGCCTTAAGTCACTGTCAGAGGCTTCAAATTGGCTGCCCATTCAAGAACATGACTCCCCACATCTGCAAAGGAATGGGGTTTCAGTCCTTGGTAGAAACCCTGAAGTACAACTGACCTCCCTGTTTCCATTTCTGGGATTAGGAAGGCTAATATATATCCCTGACATTAGTGGTGAAATTGCATAATGCCTAACATTAAAAGGACGCGGGTAGTGTTGTGGGTTAAACCACAGTGCCTAGGACTTGGCGATCAGAAGGTTGGTGCTTCGAATTCCCGCGACGGGGTGAGCTCCCGTTGCTCGGTCCCTGCTCCTGCCAACCTAGCAGTTCAAAAGCACCTCAAAGTGCAAGTAGATAAATAGGGACCACTCCGGCGGGAAGGTAAACGGTGTTTCCGTGCACTGCTCTGGTTCACCAGAAGCGGCTTAGTCATGCTGGCCACATGACCTGGAAGCTGTACGCCGGCTCCCTTGGGCAATAAAGCGAGATGAGCGCCGCAACCCCAGAGTCGGTCACGACTGGACCTAATGGTCAGGGGTCCCTTTACTTTTACCTTTACCTTTAACATTTCATGCAACAATGCAGGAAAGAAAATCAGAGAGCTTCATTCTGTCCAGTACTACGAACATCTGCATGCATGTGATGGTTTAATCATGCTTTAAGCCAATCATGTGCTGTTACAGGGCACATACACACACTACAAACACAAACTAGTTTAAAGTGGTTTTCTTTTCACGTCCCCTAACATGACATGGAACAGCAGTGGCAAGTGACCCAGTTCTCATTTTCTTTGTCCTTTCGATATTCTGGTGATTCTGCACCAAGAACAATCTGGGCAGGCCTAATTTTGCAGCTCATTCCAATGGAAACATCACCTATGTGGGCACACAA